TGTGATGATGTTTCTGTATTGCCCATCACAAGGTTTGCTCCTGGAATTCAGCTGCTGTGAAACTTTTAACTTATCTCGAGCTCGTTATTGTATATTTGCCACCTTCGGCAGGCAAGAGTCCTGAATTCCAAGGGAATCTCAGTCCCCCTCGATTATGTCTTTCTACAATCAGAAGCTGAAGTGTTTTTATATTTTAGTACCTCGTTGATGAAAGAAAAATTTGTTTTGCCAGGATTACTGCTGTAAGACAACTGTGGGTCTAAACCACATTGGTGCTTGGTGTAACCATCTACTGCATCTCTCTTGTTTGGGTCCTATAAAGAAACACAAATATAGGTGTCCAGACTTGGTAAGAATAGCACGCTCTGTGATTTGTTATCAGCAAAGAGTCCTGATGGGACCTTTTTTTTTTTTTTTTTTAAATCTAGAAGGTAGCATTTGAAAGCCTTAATTTCAACCAGTTTTCTAAGTCTCATAAGTTATAACGAAGCTCAGCCTTCCCTGCTAGTATCTCAGACTCCAGGAGCAAGTTCTGGTATGTTCCCAAGGGGCTATGTGAGATCAGGGTATTATACCAGGATATAATTTAAAAGCTGGATCCTAGCATTCTTCTTCTGGAAAGAAGCTGCAGTCAGCCCCTCTGCCAGGCTCTGGTTGCTTCTGGGCACAAGCAAAATACTACCAGTTGGCTGCTGGGCAGTGTTTTGTTTTAGGGGTGACTTGGAGGTCTTCCTCAAGTCAGACCTACAACTCCAGCCCCATCCTTACCAGACAGTCCCAGCATTGTTCTGTGCCCCCAACCTGCTGTTCTGTATACGCTCTCTTGGGAAGAAAACCACTGGCAGTAACACCAGACTAGAAGTCACCAGCCTCAGGAAACAAAACAAAACAAAAATGTCCTGCAATAAAGCTATTTTTTCACATGGCTTTGGGCCTATTTGCTTGCTCTTTCTGTTCTTTTTACTCCCCAATTCCCAAGTTTATGTTCCTACTGTTGAGCAAAGGGGGTTGTCCAAGTCAAGGAGACCACTGTTTAATCCCTGCCCTGAACTATTGCCACAAAATACTGTATTCAGAAAACATTTAGGAAAAGATAGGAAAAAGTCACAGCAAAGATTTACTTCCACGTCATTTGCTAATGCAGCTTCTTTAGGTAATAGCTGGGGAATTAAAAGGATGTGCATGGAAACCACAGAGTATCAGCGTATAAAGCCTTCAGTAATGAGCCCAAGAGCCGCACTTGCTATGTACAGAAACAGAATAGACTCACTAGAAATCTGGGGCCAGCGTGATGGAATATACTTGATGTCTGCAGCACCTGAGCCAGGCGGCGACGGAGCTGCAGGGAGAAGGGTGACAGTTCATTAGGAAACAAACAAACCCTCCAGGAAAAACAGATTAAACTCCATCCACTCAGAAAAAAGGAAGGCTGCTTCCAGCATGCGAGAGCCTCTGGGGAGCGTAGTCAGATGCACAAATGAGATGCTAAATGGCCCTTAGGACTTTGCTGATGGCTGTTTTACTTTGCACAGGGCACAGCATGAGGAGGCCTGGCTGTGGCATGATACGTGAGCTTTCTGGAGTCAGGTCATTTCTATGTCTAGCACCTGTATCTGTGGACCCTGTCCGTGATCATGGCCCTGACTTTGTCCAGCATTACCAGTAGGTAGTGGTAATTTGAGTCTAGTGCTGCTGAGAACAGGAGGTTTTTGCTGTCCTCCATGCCCTTACAGCTGCGCAGATAAGTTGGCTGCTGTGATAGTGAATGCCTGAATGACAATGGTCCTGCCTCAGGCACTGAACGGAGGTGGCGGTCTCTGAGCAGTTCCTCCCCTGTGACATCAGCCTTCGATTTACTTTAATCTAATTTCTGATTAAAGCAGATTCTCATTCTGAGTGTTACCTCTGCTGCCAGAACAAAGCAGCTCTAGGGCCCCATTCGCCTTCACACCGTTCTTACTCTCCTGACTTCCCTGGAGCCCATCCTGATTCACAGCAGGATGGGGCCAAGCTTATAGGTAAGCATTAAATGTGTCTTAATAGTTACGCAGCAACTTGCAGGGATAGTAATCATAGTGCCCAGTGCTCTGACCTGTCACGTGCAACCTCTAGCACGATCCAGGAGACACATTAGTCTCACCAGCCTGCCTCGCTGCTGCGAGGTGTCAGGAATTACTGTGTCCTCGGTCTCCCGTTCTGGATGTGCTGAGCTGCTTAAGCAGATGTGTGCTGGGATCTAGTTATATTAATAGCCTCACGGTTCAGACTGTCCTTTCTGAGAAAAGCAGAGCCCAGTCCAACCTCACCTTTACAGGAGCATACTCCTTCCCCAGCCCTCGAGCAACTGTGCCAGGGTCCCCTGGAGAAAGGAGACATGGCCTGCCTCTGTCCAGCCAGTCGTGCCCCTGGTTACAGCTGCAGTGCTTTGTCCCGGGTCTGACGAGGCCCTGCGGTCAGCAGCCAGCAAACACCTAACGAGGCATTTGGCAGAAGGTTTTTCTGAGCATAAAACCAAAGTGCTGAGATGACATTTACATTCAAGCATTAGTCATGCCCCGAGGCATCTCCTGACACAGGGATTTCATAACTCATGCAAACAGCACGCTTTCTTCTTCCGCTTGCAGTGTATGTTGATTGAGGCTGGACGTGAACATGAACACACAGACAACGTTATGGCGTGGGCGAACGTCACTGTCACAGAGAACAAGAGCCTGCTTAGTCTCTGGCTGCCATAGCGCAGCGTCCTTAAAGAACAAACCTGTTTGTCCTCCGGATATTGGCTGTGCTTACAGATAGGAGGGACAGACTGCAGTATGCACTCCTAACCGGCGCTCGTTTGCTCATCGTTGCAATTTATTAGCCTAAAGACAATCTCATAATAATGTCCCATCAGTGTCCACAATATCCAGCCGTGCTCCATTCTCCAAGACTTTCCAAAGAGCTAACTAAGACAGAGCACTTTGTTTTTAGCCATGGCCAGAGAAACCATGTTTCTCTTCTTCCAGAGAAACCCCAGTGGGCTGCAAGCTGTTTTCACTCTGAATACCAATGAAGTTGGAGAAAAAGATTGACATTTTCCCTGATGGCAGCTTGTAAGAACAGTCTGCTTTGGGTGAGTCAAAAAGCTCCTTTTTTGCTAACATGATGGCAGGTGAGGAGGTGCATGGCCTCTGCGCAGTGACCCAAGCAGCCTGCCGGGCTGTACCGAGGGGGAGATACGCTCGCCTTTCCTTTCCTCATGGTCTTTCACCCGCCCTGTTTGCTGGCTGCTTTAGCAGACAGGCTTCAGGCACTTGCAGCCCTTTTCCTCCAGGCCGGATCTTGCTGCCTCGCAGCAGTCACACTCGTGGGTCGGATGCCCACAGCGGGTTTTCTTCTGGTGGCTTTTCATCACCAACTCGGAAGCTAACTCTTTGGATAAAGCTCAGAGATTTTAGACAATATAAGGCACATTTTAAAGTCTCTTCCCTCCCTAAAATTATTTACATATTTAGCTCACATTTCTGAACCTGGCTGCTCTTGGAGTCCATCAGGAAGAGTTAAGACTAGTCCTGTGCACGCAGGGGACCTTGCGGCTCCTTTACGTCCATGACACTGGAGCTGACCGGTCCCAACAAAATCCGCTAATCCCCCGTGAACAACGGGCTATTCTGCTTCGCGAGGAATGCGACTGCTTCTCACCCTTGCCGTGTGAAAGAAGTGCCGCTTTCCAACTACCCGTTCCTGCCTCCCAACCCTCCTCCACGATCTTTCTACACATTTGAGTTCCAAAATAGCCCGAGACCTGTTCTATAATTCACCAAGCAGCCTATTCTCGCCAAGAGACCTGCTGTTTACATTTCTGTCTATCTTCAAACTCTTTCCATAACAATATGTCTTCCTGGAGTGCTCCTGCAGCTGTGAATTGAATTTCAATGACAGAGGTGCTGATGTTGAGTGGCATATTCTATTTTTCAGGGTTTTGCAAATTCACTGTGTATCTTACAAGTCTGTCATAGTAAGTGCCATTCCCTGGGACTTGGGAGTCCTATGGCTTTTCCTCCTCCCCTGTGAGTAATTTATTTTCTTTACTGACAGCTAACTATTGACTTTTCTTTCTCCTGCAGATGAGGTGTCCTGCCTCATTAGGTTTGAATTAGTTTTATCTCTAGACTTTCCTATTAATAAGCTCTCATTGTGGTGCCATTATTTGATATCTATTTTCTAATTTTTTCCCCTATGTCTCCCTATCTCTCAAATATTTTTTTCAGTTTTTTTTTTTTCCCCTCAGCTGGCTAAGATATTTAGTAGTTAGACACTGATGAGAGACCCGCAAACAGTTAGACACTGATCAAAGACCCGCACAGAGTGACCCAGTGCCCAGTCCGCCCCATGCATGCAAAGGGAAGGAGGATGCCACTGGCAGCTCGCGGAGGCGAAACGCGAGGATGGCCACAGGCTCGCTCCCGCACTCGTTCTCCCTCTGCATTCCTTTAATCTTGGGCTGATCTATGCCATGCTGGTTTTCTTAAGCACTTGAGTCAATAGAGTAATTAAAATTCCTCCTGTGAT